AATTTCGGCATTTTGACTGTCGGCATTTTGAATAGCTTTATTTCAGTATTCTCCAAATTTAGTATTTTTATTAATTCTAAGAAATTTAGGGATTTTTTTTGAAAGCGCCGCTGAGCCCTACAACGAGCTTTTCTACACAATTTTCCATCAACACTCGAGCGTGCTCGTTGTCGGCTTCTGCGTCGCGGCCACATGGTTCGGCCGTCAGAAAGTTTTTTCCGTAGGCAAGATATGTCTCCTTGCAAATTTAGGTCACCGTTAATCCGGAAGCGAGGTCACGCATCTTGCCGGGATTTGCGCTATGGGTCAGTAGAAATCTGAATTTTCGGATTATGTAAAATCGACATCCTGACAGATAATTCTGAAATCGACTTATATAAAATCACTTTCTCGAAACTCCAATTCGTCGAAATTTGGCTCAGTCTAACTTTGTTGTTTACGAAATTTAACCTGAATATACCAAATTTGAACCAAATCCCCATCGCGCCAAGTTACAAAAAAGCGAGATATTCCTAAATTTTCAATAGAAAGGTCGATCGAAACTTTCTAGTTCACCGTCGCAAACTGTTTTGCCGTTCTCGCGCTGGTTATTAGGACATTGTGCATGCAATTCGTCAATTGGTCCATCGATCTCTGGCCGTGGTGGGACTTTATGACCGGAACCGGAGTCGAGCTCGTCGAGATTATGGGGTCCAGGTATTCATGAAATGACGTGAAAATTGAGCCTGCTTCAGCCTATTTTTGGTTATCGCCGTCTGGTCCGCGCGGGATTCCACTGTAATGGTTAATGCAGTCAAGTAAATGTTACGTCTAAGTGAAGTTTTGATAAAGTAAATTTTTCCTTTCCGAACTGACAATGAGCCTGGAGCTCTAAAACTTCGAGTAACAGAATCGCGAGGAGAGAGAGAGCGAGCGAGAAAGAGAGAGAGAGAGAGAGAGAGAGAGAGAGAGAGAGAGAGAGAGAGAGCGCGCGCGAGAAAGGGTTGGTACCTCGAGAACCTGCTTTCTACTGCCGCCCCTTACTACACACCGGCGTCTCGCTATGCCCGATTTGGTGAGCAGGTGATTATACTCAACGCTGACCTCGGAACTATGGCCCACATTTTCGTTTTTGTACTACCAGTCACTACCAGTACCACTTTTGTCAAAACCCACAACGCCGTAGATGTTCTTACCTTCTGCCAGCGACGAATCAATCGTTGGTTCCTTCTACACGACCCTATGGATCCTCAACACTTTATTGTGCATTGTATCGGTCAACTGTCTACTTTTTGTCAACTCGAAAATGACCAAGAGTTTCAACAGGTTGCAGCTGTTGGTTCTGGTAACCGCGCGTCTCATCACGAATTGAGCTCACAAGATCTAGATCCGCAACCAGGCCGGCGACACGTTCGTCTCGTTCCTGAAGCCAATCATTTTCGCCCCAAAACACGCTTTGAAATTTCTGCTGCACCATTTTGAGGCGACGATGCTGAACGGGTTGCTGGCGACGGTAATCCGCGATCAATGGGTGCATTCGAATTTCTAGGCCGGCTACTTTACGGTTTCCATGATATCGTTGACGGCCATCCTCTACCTTGGCATTCTGAGGTACCGTAAAACGGCCAATTCGTCGATGGGTTGCCGTCCAAGTTTCCTGTTAATCTCGGTGACGGCCAACGCCATCTGCATGATACTCTCATTCATCGCGGCGTGTGTGGTAATTTACTCGGAGAATGGAATAATCAGTGATCCAGTGTTGGTGAGTGGAAAATTAGATGATATGCGAATCGTAAGACAGATGCTAAAACGGCTAACGCTCTAGAAGAATTACTGTCATTTTCCCTAAAATCATTTTTCCTAAAAGTCATTTTTCGGAAAACCGGCTAAATATCAAAAAAGGGCTCATCAGTTCTTTAGTAGTATTCATGGCGAAATCGAAATTTTTTGCTAATAAATTCACATATGCCTAGCAATGTCATAGAAAGTATTTTAGTAGCCTGGACTTAGCTATACCGGAAGTCAAAAGTATTAATGAAAAGTAAAAAAAAGTTTGATAAAAGCCAACTAAATGCCAGCATTTCGCTTTCCTGCATATTTTCACATCTCTATTTTATGATTAATCTTTGAAAAGATGAACTGTGGGAATAATGATTTTTAGGAAAAAGACTTTGAAGAAAAGTGATTTTTAGGAAAAATCAATTTAGGAAAAATAAAAAGAAGCTGATCTAAACTAGCCAAAGCACCGATTTTGGATACCTCCAGATCTGCGGCGCCATTCCGGAGCTCTGTGGGCAGACGGACGTTCTGATGGGCATTTTCTCGACCCGGGTGATGTATATCTTATTGGCCATTGTCACGGGTACTCTGTACGGAGGCGGCGTCTATAGTCATATCTTTGTCTCGGTGCTGCGCGAGAACTGCATCCCGCAGCAGCAATATGAGAGTGCACATACGCGAAGCCTTCGGCGGCATTTTGCGCTAGTCTTCTTGCTTCAGGTAAGAGATGAGGTCGGGTCGGTCGATGCTGGGGCATAGGTGCAGGCTTACAAGGGAAGGGCACGCTCACAGGGTGGAATTTCGAAAAACGCTCACGGCAACCCCCGGGTAATCGACTACGGAGAACACGATGCCGCTGTCCGATCTTGCTACGGAGGACTGTGGACAGAGATACCGCACTTCCGGAAAATGATGATTTGCATGCGAAAGATTAGCATTCCGAGGAAGCCTTATTAGGGTCTCCCATGAGTCTTCGAAAAAATTTTTCGAAAAACTTTTTGTTTGTTCGCTAAACGTTTCATACGGCATCAAGAATGACTTTTGCCACATTTAGACAAGGTTCTGGACTTGTGCAAAAAAGTTGTCAAAAGGCAAAACGAAAAAAACGTGAGAAAAACGTGATCCGTGCCCTGGCCACTATCCTAACAAGCTGGTTGCTTACCACTCAGCCATTCAACTAGTGGTACCATACTTATGGGAAACCCTAATAAGGCTTCCCCGGAATGCTAATTTTTCGCATGCAAATTATCATTTTCCGGAAGTGCCGTATCTCTGTCCACAGGCCTCCGTAGCAAAATCGGACAGCGGCATCGTGTTCTCCGTAGTCGATTACCCGGGGGTAGCCGCGAGCGTTTTTCGAAACTCCACCCTGCGAGCGTGCCCTTCACTTGTTAGTCATAGGTTTAGGCGTCGTCTCTGGCCCTTTTCTCGTGAATTTTTCCAATCGACAAACGATTTGAAACCATCACTAACGAAACTTTCCAGTCCGCGGTCCTATTCGGCCTTGTCATCGGCCCATTTTTGGGTTCGTCTTTCTCGTGGTATTCGTTTTCCAGGACTGGCCCGCATTGCCATTTTTGGATTGGCTTTGTACTTGTGGGTCGAAAAGCTGTCTGGTTTCCGCGATGCTTTAGGTACCGGTGTAACGCCGTTATTCGCTTGTCTCCACTCTGTGGTTAATCACCTGATTATAATTTTTGCGACAAAAAGCTATCGGCGGCGGTTGTGGCTATTGGTGTGGCCGAAAAGATGGCGAATCAGCAAACACGAAATCCCCAATCAGCAGTAGTCGCCAGAGCAGCGTGGTGTTCGTGGTCGGACTTTAGGATGAAGCTCTCTCCATTCTCTCTCTCTCTCTCTCTCTCTCTCTCTCTCTCTCTCTCTCTCCCTGTCAACCTTTCAGTCTCTCTTTTTCTCTCGCTCCCTTTGTCCCATTCAGAAATAAATATACACTTTCCCGTCACCTCAGTTTTTGGCCGAGCTGATGGCAAGCAGGTGCTAAGACAGGCCGTTGCGGCCACATTGGATTCCAGGAACGTTTTTCCAGCTGCTAGACTTGAATTCACTCTATATCAGCGGTCTCATTAAGCTTTGTACCAGCGATGACTCGATAATCAGCGCTTTCTATTCGGCAACCGACTTCGTGAATCGCTAATCATTTTTCGTGTCCGAGAACGGTCTACTTTTCGTAAACTTGCAGACGACGTTGATTTTGGTACGCAAATTCCAATAGTTTTTGCGGCGAGAGAGAGACGCCAGAGCTACAGCAAGCGATGAAGAGCAGAGAGGGAGGGCCAGTGAGGGACAGTTTGCGAAGCGGCAGAGAACGAAACCCGCTCTTTTCATCGATAACTAAAACTTGTCCGGCCACTTCGAAAAACTATCTTGAAAACTACTGAACCAAACAGGCCCAAAATTTGTGTCAATAGCTCATTTTAGAAGGGGATCATTCCTCTAATACATCGTGAAGCCTGAAAATGGCCGGAAAATGGTTGAATAGCCTACTAAAAACAGTTTCACGACGTTTTCAACATTTTTGGATGGTTTGCGAAAGCTGACTATTACACGAAAATATGCGCCTTATTTTTCTGCATCGAATGATGTATAGCTTATTGAGCGCGAACCACCCTAAAAATTCGTTTTATTCACTTTTATGTGTTAAAATGGTGGTAAAAACGACCCCAAAAAATGAAAATTTTTGATGACGGGAAATCTGAGATATAGAATTGCATCTAGAGACCGAGACGAGTCGATTGCAAAAAAAAAGCAAAACGAATTTCCACTTATTTGGATGTCATGGAACCGAACCCGGACCCTCCGCCTGGGAGCCCTGTAGCGCAATCGGTAGAGCGGCGGCCTGCCAATCCAGAGCTGGCGCCAGTTCAATCCCAGCCCCTCACAGAAACCGAATTTCTCTTTGCTCTGGGCTGGCAAAAAAAACTGTGCCAGGTCATAATGGGGTCTGTTCGGATGAGTCGCGGACGGCCTTTTAATACCTCGCCCTTTTTTCCGGGTTCATGCAAGTGCCAACGGCAAGGCCACCGCAATAAAACAAGTGTTATGCGCGTAGATCGGGCGCCTCATTCGGGCGCGCATCTATTTTGTCGTGTCTCCAGGGCAATCTGCCCCCCATTCGAGGGCCCATCTTCATTTTTATATGGAAAGCGGCCGGGGGCCAGACGTCGGCAGCGTCTCAAAATTATCCGCCGGCTTCGATATTTTATTCAAGAGCGCTGTTGTCTATGCTTTGGCGATATTTGTGCTATGGAATCCAGGTGTTCTTATTTATTGAGGTTGCGGGGGTAAGTTATAAAATATTTAAATACGAGTTTAACTCTTGATATGCGTTTGCTTTCGATCTAACTATTAGCCTTTTTAGTACATCAACTACACGGGCAAGTACTGGATTGTTCGACAGGATCTCACCGCTTCTACCAATTTTGGATACGAGACGGTCCAAAATTGCATCAACTTGGGGAGTTCATGTGCTGGATTTTCTGGAGGTATTTAAAAAATGTTCCGACTTTTAACTTTCAGATGGCACATTATACCCTCAAGCTACAAAATGTCAAGCCGAATTTTTGCTCTACACTTCGCAAGATGCATCAGTAGTTGAATCGACTTGTCATCAACTGACGAACGGTATCTAACTTTTATCGCTTTTTCTCTGCCGCTCTCTCTCTCTCACTCCCTTTCTCTCTCTCTGGCACTTTCTCTCTTTCACACTCTCTGGTCTCTCTCTATTTCTCTCTATATCACTGTCTCTCTCTCTCTCTCTCTCTCTCTCTCTCTCTCTCTCTCTCTCTCTCTTGCTCGGCCGCTCCCGAGAAATACGTGGATAAAAACTGGCAAAAGAAGTTTTTTAGCGGCCGTCGACTATACCATCAATGGCACAAAATTCTACAACCTACAAACAAATTGTACCTCCGCATCGGTAACCCCACCATCGCTATACCTTGTTTTTGTCAATTTTTTTTGACGATAAAAAGTTGTTTAGAGCTGTGCCACGATGTGCGACAACATGGGGCTCTCGGAAATTTCGATCCACTCGGCGACTGAAAATGCGGCAATTAGGGGTGGGTTTTCCGATCAACCGAAATGATTCATACATTTCATAGCAGCTAAGAACTGGGTTTATAATCTGTACTGGTTCTCAGGAAACGTGAGCGCGACAACATCCTGCGGCCAAATCGGAGGCGCAAATCAATTGGTGCACCTTGCGATCACGAAGAGCGCGAAGAACCTACCCAGCTGGGCGTGGGGAACACATTTCTATATCGCTATTTATCGTTCAGTGATGGAACGCCGTTCGACTACAATTACGCGGCCTTCAATAATTCGTGGAAAACGAGCTGTGCAGGAGCTGTGGTAAAGTTTGCACAAAATCCCACTAGTGTATCCTGGAATTAGCTGAGCAACCTAATAGGTAGAAGAGAGAGACAGAGAGAGAGAGAGAGAGAGAGAGAGAGAGAGAGAGAGAGCGAGGGAGAGATAGAGAGTAGAGAGGCGAGAGATGAGAGAAAAGTGAGAGCGCGAGACAGCGAGAGAGTTATAGATAGAAGCAGTTCGAAAGAGACAGAGAGAGAGAAAAAGAGAGAGACAGACGGAGAAAGAGAGAGAGCAAGAGAGCGAGACTACTATACTATACGGATTTATTTTAAGGCCCTCGAAAACTTTATTTTACTACTTTAAAATATAAAACATTTAGCAAACAAAGGGTTTTTTGTCAGCTTTTACAAAATACGTTTCACCAGAACTAGTGAAAAAAGGACATGTCTTACATCTCTGTATGTTTTAAAACCCTGTGTCTCCATACTGTGCATACTCATTTGAGGTGTGTTGCAACGGTTTAATTTATAATATTTATTCGCACAGAAGTTTTACAACGATGCGGTGACTACCTAGATAACAAAGAAAAAAGAAGATGCTCAACGACTCGGTCACGAATTACAGGCGTTAACATGAGATTTAACACTGTTACTAGTAGCGTCGTAATAAAAAGATATTTCAAAGATTTTCTTGGCTCCGTTCGTATCATGATTATCGTTTTTCGAGGTTTGGACGCTGAGGGGTCCCAATGTATCGACTCTGCGGCCGGCATGCTCGTCAATCGTCAACCTGCCTTCTACTCCTGGAGAGCTATGACAGTTTAGCTTGATGTGACGGACGAGATTGGAGTTTGTAGAAAACTCTTTGTCACAGTTAAAGCAACGATAATCAGGACGCGGAGCTGGCAGAGAATTCATCAAATCGTAAAACTAGACAGAATGAGACCGAATCGTTGAGCTACTCCTCCTTATATACATTCTCCCCGGCGTAGGCCAAGGGTAGAGCAAAGTTAAATTGAGATTTCATAAGGAAAACCACAAATAAATCATCGATGCTGTGAAGAAACCGCAAAACGTCATAGAAAGGCATCCCAAGGCACATCTTATACAAAAAAATCATACAGAAGGCACCACAAGTCCGTGTTCCGAAAGCCTGGCATTGTTTCCAGTTGGACACCACGTTTGTAAAATGGTTGGTCAACCATATTCTAATTTCCCTCGAGGTTCATCTCCAAGCGGGTCGAAATAGAATACAGTATCCCCCCGAGAGAAAAAGGCAACCCAATGCTTACCGAGTTCTGATATCTTATCGGTGTTGACGCAAAAAGGCTGTCTTCGAAGCGTTAGTTGGAAGTGTGTCTGCGGCATATGTACCTTGGAAGGATACACGCGTCACAGGGTTAGTCATGAGAATAGAGTCGATTGTCCAGTTGTCCATGTTACAGCGTAAGTGTCTGGGCTTGACGGGCGTGGTCCAGCGTCAATTTATCCATTAGCTCGGCGTGTACGACGACCATAAGTCCACCTGTCGGTACCGGTTGACTCAACTCCAAGTCCAACGTACACTGCCCAGAAACCGCCATATCGAAACTGTTGATGCCACCGTCCGCGTCCGGCAGAAGTTCGAACACTTGCACACATCGTGAGTCTGAAAACATTGTATGCCCAATACCATTTGTTAGGTTGCTGCCGGTCATACCGCAGCCTTCCAACATTTGCGTATAGGCCTCAGTACATCCCAAACCGCCCTTATCCCAAGTTAAGTTCCAAGGCTTATACGGTACAGTCTGCCCTGCAAAACGAATACTCAAGTTCTTGATATGATTATGGTGGAAGCGCCAGGGATCGGTCTTGTATGTTCCCACAAACCCATCATTCTTTACGAGACCCACAAAAATGCGGCGAGGGATCTGATTAGAGTTAAACAGTTGCATCTCCGGAAGTTTCAAAACACCCGCGGGCATGAAGAAACTTTTAGTCTGATAGCTGCGCATGGGGTAGCTAGCCTTGCTGCCAGTACTCAGTTGACGTTCAATTGCGGCAACAGCCGAAGGGTAGAGTTGGTACTCGGCCACGACGAGGCGAATGTCGTCAATCACTAAACGCCATGTTTCCTTGTCGGAACCATACGCGCGGATCAAGAACTGATCGCTTTGCCGGTGCAGGGTGATCTGGATGTCAGTGTTGTTCAGCATCAGCTTATTGCTGCTACAGATGTTTAAATCCAAGGGACTGTTGACCTGCACGGGCCTCCCCTTCATGAAAAGAACACTCAGATTTTCGAAACCATCGTTGGTCTCATGTTCCGAACCGTTATCGCCAGCATCATAGAGTTGGGGGTGTCCATAGTTAAACTGTTTAACGTTCCTATCTGTCATGAACTCGGCGTTAATGAAAGCACGGTACGGGTACAAATCTCCAGAATTTTCGATTTGGGTACCTCCAATGCTAACCGTCGCCTGTTTCCAGAAGGCACGAGCAGCAAATTGGATAGGGGCACAACGGTCTTTGAAATGGAAGACACCCTTTTCATCTTTCTCCGAATGTGTATAACCATTTCCTTTTTCGTCAACCAGACGCAAAGTCATTGTGACATAGGAACGGGCAAGGCTAATAAAATGTGGTTCTTTCATGATACGGAAAGTATATGGCCCGGTTTGGTTTAGACTACTATTTTCTGGGGCGATACTCCTAAAACGCATAGACTGGATACCTACTACATGTTGAATGGGGTCAAAAAGGGCAAGTTCGTTGGAAAAAGAAAGCTCAGGGTTGCTTTCCAATGCTTTTACCGCGGACATTTTTAGGAGGGATAACGGTAAAAATGGTTGCCCGTCGTTTTCTACCCCTTTTTATAGGCGTCTTTCCAAATTTCGGGACCGCCCTAATCTTGGGCTTTTCTTCAACGGAAGGCACCAAAGGTAGAGTGGTGGGTGTCGGGGTCGAGATGCTGTGTTTCACAGGAAGTAAAAATTTACTGTGCCGAAAAGGGGTTTTAGCCCCGCTACCTTTTTTGCGTCTTAGACAACATATTTTGTTTGGCTTCGCTGAACTCCCAAACAATTTCATTAGGGTCAACTGAATAATAATTGGAGAAAGACATTGTGTGGGGGGAATGGAACAATGGCTATCGCAACGCTTAATATAGTCTTTTGAAATGGAGAAGGGCGACCGATTTGCCGATATTCATGGGCACCCCCCGCCCATTGTCGTCGGTGATATGCAGTTTAATGGAATTGAAACGGCCTTGCTTGACGCGATGGTACACCGGAGGGTTGAAAGTTTTCGTCGAAACTCCCCCCGGGTACCGTATCGTTAGGGATGCTACGCAGCAGCTCCAAAAACTCACCCCCTACCAAATGCGGGTCAACCAAATTGCAAAAAACTCGCAAGTTTCTAGTGTTAAAGGCAAGGTCGGGCAAGTACTTTGCGGTTTGAAGCCCACTAAGGGTCTCGCTTTCAAAGCCCAACATACGCCAGACCAAGGCAGGCAAAATAACTTTGGAAACCCGAACGGGGTCAATGTTGACCATAAAGCGCATTTTGTTCTCATCGTATTCGAAGCATACTCCCCTGCTTTCGTGAGCCGCATTTTTTAGCTCATACGAAAAACTATCGCTAAAATTCTGCAAGGCAACCACGGGGATCTCCTCAGCGACAGGTTCAACTGCCGCCACTTCCGATACTTTGTCAGTCAAATTGTAATAGACACTGAGGATGTCCGATCTTGCTGCTTTTCTAAACTCTGGCTGGAAAACCACTTCAGGAAGTGGAAAAGAAGTGAAAATTTTATCCTCTTTTGATGCGTCAAAATTCGAATCTCCGCCTCCACCAAACGTTGCATCGCTCGCGGAATCTTCTTCGTGCACATCTGCCGTTACTGGGCTACCGGGAGGAGTTTCAGCTTCCGGAATGGTATATGCTTCACCGTCTCCTAGAGAACCCGTTGCTTGAGTTTCTGCAACTGTTTCCTCAACTGGCTCAATTGGAGCTTCCTGACTTTCCTCGGGAACTTCTGGTACTTCCGCTGTGTCAGGTACCTCGGTACTGTGGAGGGAATGAACACCCGGTGGTTCACTGTGAGCCCCCGTTGGTTCGCGCACCTCGCTACTTTCTAGGGGGAGGGAGTCTGGCTGAGCCCCCGTTTCTTCCTTGTGAGGCACCTCGGTACTTTCTAGGGGTTGGGGTGTTAGCTCTGGTTGAGCCCCCGTTGCTTCATTGTGAGACACCTCGGTAGTTTCTTGGGACTCTTCCTCTGGTGGTTCATTGTGAGGTACCTCAGCACCTCCTAGAGGGAGGGAGGTGAAAGTCTTCTTTTCCGCCGAAGCGTCAAAGTTGGGGGGGCAGTTCGTCGGGAGTCGATCTACGTTTCCTAGACTTGCCAAAAATCGAGTTGAGCGCATTAGCAAGGCGAGCCGGTTTCAGATAGTTTCCTGCAGGTAAATAGAAATTCGTTGCCTGACCATTAGTATCAACAACTTTCACACGTTGATTCTCGGGTACTTGGTCAACAGCGCCAACACCAGTCATTTCAACGAGTGCGCAAGCCCATTGGCTTTGCTGCGCCCCACCTTCTTGCAGGTTCAATTCTTTTGCCAAATGGTTAGTCAAAAAGGGACTTCTCTCATCGCACGGTCCAACAACGGTTACATAAAAATCGTCACTCATTTTGGGAATGTAAAACCAGTCGGACGACACTAAGCCAAACGGAAATGTCCAACCCTTTTATATGGGCAATGGTCATGTTGACCACGCAAGCAATTATCACCAAGAAAGTTAGACAAATTTGTACAGTAGTCAGGCTAGTCGAGGGCGGCAAAGGTCCCCCCTTCAT